ACACCCTCTTCGCAAAGAAGGGATGTAGATCTATAGCATACAAGTGTGTCAGAGGTTTACTGCTATCTTTCTTTCTTTTTTTGGGGGGGGGGGCATGTATGCGTATAATCAAGTATATTAACGTCTGTATAAAATATTATGTACCTAGATGCAGCTGGGTGAACAGTGGAAAATAATAGTCCATCTCAATTTTATTTTTTTTAAATTACTTTAACTATATCGCACCAGGCACACTTGCAGGAGGATGCCCTGATCTTAATTTTTTGTTCACATTTTCTGAACAAACCATCTTTTCCTGACCCCTTCGGCAGGTTGGGCGGAAAAAAGGGAAAGGGGGGGGGGGCACATATAGATTCGCTTTGCACCGTTAGAGGGTGTGATCCTGTAACGGTAGAACAGATCACATGACCATCTCAATCTAAACACAGATGCATACCAATATGTAAAATGTATTTTTTGTGATTCACTGCCACGACGTTCTTTTCTTCTTTCAATCGTATTCTTTGACGCCAATAAATAAGGCCAACTGCGTCCACCTTAGAAAGGACTTTTGTTTCCAGCATGGCACACAGCTCACCAGGGACAAACTAACTTGCAAACTGATATATGCATACGAACTCTAAGCCAAAACGTTTGTCTGCAGGTCCTCGATCTGAGTCCGGAGCGAGAGGCATGTTTAGACTACAAGTTGACAGTACTTCCGGCAGATATTGGGAAGCTCCTCAATCTAACCACGTTGATCCTAGACACTAACGAGCTTCTGGAGGTAAGACTGCGACCGGCTGTGGGTCAAAATGATGTTCAGCTCTAATCGTGTAACTGGAAGAAATGGGTTGACTCTTTTTAGTTTTGAAACCAAGGTTGCCAGGAAGGTACTCAATAAGCATCAGTTGTCAGCATACACGATAGATAGTATAAAGTATAAAAGTACTGTTGGCAACGTGTGTGATTTAGAAACCAGTTACACAGTCAGAGCATAACACCGCAGTTTGGCTTTTGTCTCTGTTTGCTTATTCTGAAAAATGTCGCACCGGTAACACTTTAAAAACGTAAATAAATGAAAGTATCATGGTAAAGATACTTGGGCGGCTTTAAGCTTATTCTCAACAAAACAGAATATGTCTTTTACGAAAGTGGAACGTTTGATCCTTCAATTGGATTAGCCGATTTTTTCTTAAAAGGACAACTAAAGTGTTGACAACTTTCGTCTATCCCTTATGTGGCTCTATATTTAATATCTGGTTTTGGAATGCTTACAATATATTATAGTTAACAAGTTTCCGAAACAATAATTCATTTTAAAAACATGTTAAACCTAATAAATGTAGCATAAGTAAATCAATTTCTAAAATGGTATGTTTATTCAAGGAAACAGGGGCGTTTTCAAGGCTTTCCTCCTACTTGATTCACATTTTTACATTTTAAACAACTTATCATTATCATGAATCATGACAAGGTGAAGTGGAGGTCCATGATCGCCCACGCCAGTCGGCAAGGCACCGGATGATGATGATCATCATTATCATATATATATGAAGAAACACTGGCCGATTTTTAACAGTGTATAATAATTTAGTGACATTCGAGCGTTTGTTACTTTTGTGAGAATGTGTACTTGTGCGAGTCTATGTTTGTTAAGAATTGTACCCGGTATCTCATTTATTAGATTTCATTCGAGTGTATGGCTTTCGTAATTTCTGAAAACCTTAATTCATTTTTCACTAACTATCTATCTATCTATCCTATCTATCTATCCTATCTATCTATCTATCTATCTATCTATCTATCTATCTATCTATCTATCTATCTA